TTTTTGCTTTAGGCCTCCACCGCCATGTGCAAAAAAAAAAAAGGTTCAATCAGTCAATTTCAACTTCTCGCAGGGAAAAAAAAGATCTTGCAAAGTTGGAATTGATTGATTAAACTTTTTAATCCCACCCAGTCTGCTGTTACCACCGCAGCCACACCCACCCAACGGGCCACGCCCACCCAATGGGCCACACCCACTCAATAGGCCACGCCCACCCAGCACCCGACGATACATAAGTGGGTTTTGGGTTGCAGTTTGGGCACTCGGTCTCTAAAAGGTTCGCCATCACTGGTATAGGGTTTCCTGCCTGAGCAGGAGGTTGGACTAGATGACCTCCAAGGTCCCTTCCAACTTTATCATTATTATTATTATTATTACAAAGGAAATATGTTGAAGTGAATTGATTATATATAGAGAATGAGTGATATTTGAATCACAAAACATGTGACAGAAGAGAACATGAGTTGATTGAAAAACCAAGAAAATCATGGTTGGATGGAGTAGATAAGAGGAAGAACAAAAGAAAATAAATTGGTGTATGAATATATGGGAAGCAAGGTTGGTTGTCAAACAGAATGAGGTATAGTGAATAGTATTAGTGTAAACTAAAGTTAGACAAATTTCTCTATTTGTATTTTTTTGTCTCCAATTTCTTTTGCTTACTATTTCTTGCTTGTTTCACTTTGTATAGCATTATTTACCCAAAAGGGGATAATGTGAATGTATATATGTGTGAAACTGTAAGAAAAATGAAATAATGAAAGATTCTTCAAATATCAGAGAACTTGGATCCTAACTAACCATTATATGATCAGAATGGTTTGTGTCATTATCCACAACCTTTCGTTTCCTTGAATTTCCATACAATTCTTATCACTATGGACCATTTAGGGCCGATTCAAATTGCCCAGAAAACAACAGCCTACAAAAAGGCTCTAACTATTCCACCTCTGCTCACCCATGATCAAATTTTCCCTCTTCATCTAACCACTTTAAAAAGTGGTTTTTACTTTTTAAAGGAGATTTTATTAAAGTTATTGAACAAACCAAGAGAAATGGACTTTGTTAATCTCTTTTCAAAAGTCACATCTCTGCAGCACAGCTCAAACTTCCATCATATAATATGTAACAAAAGGCAAATTTGGTTTAATTATCAAGATATAAGCATATCTATGAAAGGTGGCTAAAGGCCACTAATCTTCAAGACCAGTGTTTTTATGCAAATGCTGTTACTCTGCTGTAACACAATGCTATTTTTTTACAAGATAGAAAAATACTTGCAATTTTCTTCTATTACATACAAAACAGAACAATATAACATACACATATATATACTATACATATAGAGAAAAAGAGAGATGGGGAGATTCAGGCAGATACAAACACTAATCTGCAAGTCTCCATCATTTTGGTTTTCTGGCAAGACCATCCAGTGAGAATAGAATAGAGCTGGAAGGGACCTTGGAAGTCTTCGAGTCCAGCCCCCTGCTCAAGCAGGAGGACCTATACCATCTCAAGACAAGTGACTGTCTAGCCTCTTCTTAAAAATCTCCAGTGATGGAATGCCCACGATTTCTGGAGGCAAGCTGTTCCCCTGGTTAATTGTCCTCACTGTCAGGAAGTTTCTCCTTAATTCCAGGTTGCTTCTCTCTTTGATCAGTTTCCAACCATTATTTCTTGTCCTGCCCTCTGGTGCTTTGGTGAATAATGTGACCCCCTCTTCTTGGTGGCAGTCCCTCAAATACTGGAATACTGCTATCACGTCTCCCCTATTTCTTCTTTTCTTTAGACTAGCCAAACCCAAGTCCTGCAGCCGTTCTTCGTATGTTTTAGTCTCCAGGCCTTTAATAATCAGTTGCTCTTCTCTGAATTTTTTTCCAAACTCTCAACATTTTTTTTGTGATATGCTGACCAAAATTGGCTGCAGTATTACAGGTGTGGTCTTACTAGGGTTTTATAAAGTGGTACTAATACATTGCGTGATCTTGATTCTATGCCTCTGTTTATACAACCCAGCTTTTTTGGCGCTGCTGCACACTGCTGGCTCATAGTCAAGTGCTGGCTCATAGCTTTTTTGGCGCTGCTGCACACTGCTGGCTCATAGTCAAGTGATCGTCCACTAGGGCTCCAAGGTCTGTTTTTAAGCCAGGTCTCGCTAATCTGTACTTATACCTGTGATTTTTCCTGCCTAAATATAAAACTTTTCTCCACAATGAAACTCATTTTGTTGGATAGGGCCCATTGTTCAAGTTCCTCAAGATCTTTTTGGATCCTGAGTTTGTCTTCTGGGATGTTGGCTACTCCTGCCAGTTTGGTTTCATCTGCAAATTTGATGAGTTCCCCTTCAATTCCCTCATCTAAGTCACTGATGAAGATGTTTCCCACGCTTCTTGCGTTGTTTTCCGCTTTAGGATTTTCATCCATGGGATCTTTCTTAGGCTAGCTCTGAGTTTGTTAAAGTCAGCTCTTTTGAAGTTCAAGACACTGATTGGATTGTTTTCTGTTGCTAGTGTTGTATTATATTAAATTCCAGTATGACGTGGTCACTTTCACCCAAGGTTCTGGCAATATCAACTTCCAGTATCACTTCTTCTCTATTAGTAAGAATTACGTCCAGTATAGCTTTACGTCTGGTTCCCTCCTCCACCATTTGGGTTTCAAAGTTGTCGGCTAGGTTGGTTAGGAATCTGTTTGATCTCCCGCTTGCTGCAGAGTTTGTCTCCCAGTTGATATCTGGATAGTTGAAGTCTGCCATTACTACTGTGGTATGCTTCCTACATACATTTGTTAACTGGTTGGCAAAGAGTTCATCTATTTCTTCTGATTGGTTGGGTGGCCTGTAATATACCCCTATGGCGATACCACTTTTTTTTCTCTTTTATATTGACCCATATACATTCTGGAGAGATTTTTATCTTTGATCATGTGCATTTCTGTAGATATGTAGTGTTCTTTTACATATAGTGTAACTCCCCCTCCTCTTTTTGTAGACCTGTTTCTTTTGAACACTTTGTATCCATCCATCAGTCCATTCATGAGTTTTGTCTCACCAGGTTTCTGTAATGCCAACTATGTCATACCCACCCTCGTGTACGATTGCTTCTAGTTCACCCTGTTTATTCCCAAAGCCTCTATGCCTGTTCGTGGGTATGTTTCCTGCATCTCCTGATTGTTGTTTTAGTTTTTCTTTTTTCTCATCACTGCCTACCTCATTGTTTGATTTGTTTTCATGGGATTTATGATTGGTTTGGGGTTCTAGGGATTCTAAAGATTGGTCACCCTTCCCCCTCAATTTTAGATTAAAGTCCTCCTGATGAGTTGGGCCAGTCTTTTTCTGAGTACATTTTCCCCTGTTTTCGTGAGGTGCAGACCATCCCTTGCCAAGAGTCCTTCACTTAGGAAATGCAGTCCATGATCCAGGAAACCAAAGCTTTCTTGGCGACACCAACCCTTTAGCCCAGTGATGGCGAACCTTTTAGAGACCGAGTGCCCAAACTGCAACCCAAAACCCACTTATGTATTGTCGGGTGCTGGGTGGGTGTGGCCTATTGGGTGGGTGTGGCCCATTGGGTGGGCGTGGCCCATTGGATGGACGTGGCTGCGGTGGTAACGGCAGACTGGGTGGGATTAAAAAGTTCAATCAATCAATTCCAACTTTGCAAGATCTTTTTTTTCCCTGCGAGAAGTTGAAATTGACTGATTGAACCTTTTTTTTTTTTTGCACATGGCGGTGGAGGCCTAAAGCAAAAAGGTTTTATAAAACCCAGCTGAAGGCCTAGGACTGGGGTGACGGCGTGAGTGCCCACAGAGAGGGCTCTGAGTGCCGCCTCTGGCACCCGTTCCATAGGTTCGCCACTACTGCTTTAGCCAATGGTTTATTTCTAAAATTCTTTTTTCCCTCAGTGGGTGATGGCCTTTTTTAAGTTTTTGAGCTCCAATTCCTTATTTTTTACTGGGGGTCTTCTTCCCTTCCTATTGGGACTTCAAACTTAATTGTTGCCTTCATTTCTGTTGCTTGCTGCTCCGGCCTCTTGTTGTTTTCTCTGCGGGCCCCCTTCTGTCCTTCAGTGCTCGTCTCTGCTCTGGTCAGGCCTGCCGTTCAGCTTTCCAGTCAGCTCAGCTGCTCTGTCTGGTCTGCTCCTCTCAGCTTCAGAGATCAGAGAGCTCTCTGGCTCGAAGTCTCTTGCTGCTGTTGCATTCCTCCCCCTCCCCCCTCAGGTTTTGCCACCTGCAATTCCTCACAGCCAAAGATCAGGCTAGCAGGGGTGGGGGCTGCTGGTCTCGCTGGGGAGGAAACGCTTATCCAGTCCTCCACCTGAGGCAAGTCTCCCCTGGGGAGGGCTGCAGGGCTAGAGGGAGGTAGGGAGAGGGCTGTGGGAGTCAGGCTGTCTCTGCTTTTCTGGGCCCTGGGGAGGGCTGCCTGGCTGCCCCCAGGAGTTGGGCTGCCTTGATAGGGGTGTGGGCCTAGGCCAGGGGTAGGCAACTTTGGTTTTTTTATGACTCGTGGACTTCAACTCCCAGAATTCCTGAGCCGGCCTAAGCAATTGCTGAATAAATGCTGTGACTCATCGGTTTGCTGTTTCCAAAGGTCTCCCTCCTTTCTGCTGTTCAGCTGCCGGTTCGCTGCTCTCAGTTGCCTTTTTTTCAGCATTGGGCTGCTTAGCTGTGCTCCAGAGCTGACTCTCTTGTTCTCTGTTGCTGGCTGTCTCCGACTCCACGTGCAGCCATTCATTCACAGCGTTCCTGTTTGCTGGTGATTTCCTCATTGCCCCAATTTCTTCTTTTCCTTTATCCTTACTATCTTCATTATCTTACTTTCTGCTTCTTTTTCTTCCCTTTTTTCCCTCCCTCTCCTAGTACCTTCCTACTTAGTTTAATTATTTCTCTCCCCGTGATCCAATACTGTTTCCTACGCTGCCACCATCTTGGAACCAAATATGTGAACTGAGTCAAGGAATTTAAATTATAAAGAGCTAGAATAAAGGAGACATTATTCTTACCTTTGTTCTGTGTTAAAAATGGCAAAGACATGCTTATTGGACATGAAGCCTTTCTCCACATCTCTTATTTTTAGGTTGTCTAGAGGCAACATATATTTCTTCTCTTTCTCCTATAAGAGATAAAAAAGTTACATGTAATTTTTCTTTTTTTCTTAAAATGTGAACTCAATACTCTAATAAAAAATGATCTGTGTTAAAATGAAGAAAATGAAAAGAAACCAGTTGATTAATGATAAACTACTGGTATTCCCAGTTCTACACTGGGAAAACCAGCATTCTAGCCATGCCTACACCATCTCTTAGACTGAGACCAAAAGACTCGCATTTACAGTTTACCCAGAGATATATCATATGACATGACATGACATGACATTCCTCTTAAGGCTATTTTTTCCAATGGCTGAGCATTTTTAATTTCCTCATTTAGTTTTTCCTCCTATAATATCTGGTAAAAGTCATTCAGATTTTGTTTAATAATTTTATGCTGTTTCTGAAATCAACATCCTCAGATTTTTAGTGGCACTTAAGTACTGTGATAATGAAATAGATCCTTGATGTCCTTTACAGCAGGGGTCCCCAACCCCGGTCCGTGGACCGGCACCGAGCTGCAGCATGCCAGAAACCAGGCCGCGCAAACAAGCAAAGCCCCATCCGTGGGATACAGGCAGTACATGAAACCACGCCCCCTCCGGGCCGCAAAATACCCTCTCTCTGTGGAAATGGTCCCTGGTGCTCAAAAGGCTGGGGACCTCTGCTTTACAGGTCCCATTGCAGGGGCAAATTCCAGTCTCCCAACACAAAAAATAATAGTAATTTTTTTGGATAAAGACTTTGTAGTGGAAATCTGCAGCATCTTAAAAATTGGTGGGAAGAATGTAGAAACAAACAATGGACTTGGGAATGAAAGAGCAGGTTTCTAAAACAGTTTTCTTTAATAAGAGGCAGCTTAATGATAGAGCTCCCATCATCCTATGATTCACAAAGAACAGCCCCTGCAAAAACTCCACATCTGGAAGTGTTTATAGCTCTAAATGCTGTGTCCCTCCTTCCACGCTGCATGCACACAGAGTCCCAAAAGTGATGTGTTCTTTTATATGAAAGCCACAAACCATGCATTCCCCACTTTGATTTTCTGAAAGGGCCCAACTACTTTCCAAGCTGGATTCAGCTGCAGACTTTGCCATGTCAAAGGAAAAGAAATGATTTCCCCCCCATAGAACTCCTCTACTTACAATTCTAAGAATAGAGAACTAAATAGAAAGGAAACATTTAGATTCTGGCCCCACTTGCCCAGTGTTCAGACTACCTATTCAGGAAACTACAAAGATGTACAGTAGTCTGCACATTGGTTAGATTGGGTTGGATAAGAATCATTTCAGAGGTGCTGTCTACTCAGGTAAGGTTCTACCTCTTTCTTGGGGAAAAAATTTATTCGAAGTTTTAATTATTTAATAAAAAGGCAGGTAATTATTTGTGCTCTTCATTTACTAAGAGGTGAGTTCAGAGTAAAATCTGGTATTAAATATTTAATTTGATGTTCAAAAGAACCATTCTTCTTAATCCTGTATATAATAGAAATGTGTATAGTGTACCGATGCAGTTCTGAGGAAGTAAACAATTGCAAATTCAACGAAGGAAGTAATTCATTTTTATCTAGACCAGTGGTGGCGAACCTATGGCACGGGTGCCAGAGGCGGCACTCAGAGCCCTCTCTGTGGGCACACGTGCCGTCGCCCCAGTCCTAGGCCTTCAGCTGGGTTTAATAAAACCTTTTTGCTTTAGGCCTCCGCCGCCGTGTACAAAAAAAAAGGTTCAATCAATCAGTCAATTTCAACTTCTCGCGGGAAAAAAAAAGATCTTGCAAAGTTGGAATTGATTGAACTTTTTAGTCCCACCCAGTCTGCCGTTACCACCGCAGCCACGCCCACCCAATGGGCCACACCCACCCAATGGGCCACACCCACCTGGCACCCGACGATGCATAAGTGGGTTTTGGGTTGCAGTTTGGGCACTCGGTCTCTAAAAGGTTCGCCACCACTGATCTAGACTCTGTTGTTTCTCAAAAGAATGTGTTATTATCTCACTGACAAGCAGCATCCCCCCCTCCCCACCAGAAAAAGGCTCCTCACTCTGAGGAAGAGGGTTGCTTATGAGATGAGATTAAGAAAAGAAAAACATTTGTACTACCTTAGTAAATTCAGTTTCCTTTAATATGAACTCCTTAGCTATTGAATGGAAGGGGGGGAAAGCTATGCAGCATACTTGCTAAGGATGATGCCTGTACAGTGTTAACAGGAAGACAAAAGATATTGCATTTGGGTCTAGCTAATTTGGAAGGCATCTTCCAGGCAGAACAATTCAAGAAATGTAAGCACATGTCTAACTTTAGGAGTTAGGAAATGTATCAGAGAAGAATATATTGTACTGTGACTTATTTCTAGAAATTAAACATCACAGACTATACTATTCACTAAAGAAATCTGGCTACAGTCAAAGAAAAATCAGGATGATGACCTTATAAAAAAAGCTACATGCTTCTTGTAAGATGTGCATAATATAAATGGGAAAATCATACAGAACTAGGCAAGGTTTCTGGAAAAAAGCATTTCAGTAAGGAAATCCTGTCAATAAAACATAAAGAGCCTATCAATGACCTGCTATTTTAATTTGCTTTTACTTACTTTGCCACTTTTCACTATATACTACAGAGGGTGCTGGCCCAGTATCAACATCTGATTGCTTCAAGATTTCAGAATTCAATTTTATTCGTATGTGCAGGAAGACAGGTCATTATAACAAGCCACTTGAATATTTGCAATTACTTGTTTCCCTGTCTTAAGGTAAGAAGTAACAATTGTTCTACTTCTATTCTTACATTTATTATGTCATAGAACAGTGGTTCTCAACCTGTGGGTCGGGACCCCATTTGGGGTCGATCGACCATTTCACGGGGGTCGCCAAGCAAGGCTGTCCGCCATTTTTTTGTCTGCCATTTTTTTCCCCTTTTCCGACGGGTGCCTTACCTCCCTTGGGCTGGGCCAGCTGGTGGTCGGCCTGCTCCGTCTCTGCCGCTTGCCAGCTATGCCTTGGCCAGCGCAGGGGGCGGAACCATGCATGCACGGCGCTCCCGGGCAGGGAAAGTCCTCGACTTACGACCGGTTGGGTAGTCCTCGACTTACGACCGTTTAGTCCCCGACTTACGACCGGTTTAGTCCTCGACTTACGACCGGTTGGGGTCGCGGCATTAAAAAGGTTGAGAACCACTGTCATAGAATATAACCTAATGACATACCAATATCACTTCTTCCAAGTATCCCATTATTGATCTTTCCAATTTTTAAAAAAACTTCAGATATATATTTTTTACAAACATTTTATTCCATATTATTTTGCCTTCTAAGACAGTGATGGCAAATCTTTTGGGCTTGGCATGTTAAAAATTCAGAAAATACCTATCTTGACTCTGCTGGCATGTCATCCCTCCCTCGCCCCTCCCCCCCGAACAAAGGACGCCTCTCCAGACTTCCTGTCCAGACTCTCCTCTCCTCTCTGGACCCTCTGGAAATTGTGGAGGCTTTTGGAATATCCCAAAATCAGATAATTCTTTGCATGATTTCCAGAGATTTCAGAGGCCGTGCAAGAGCAGGGCCCACACTTTCCAGAGGGCCAGAGGATTGGCGGGTCACCAAAAATGGCATAATGTAAAATATATTCATGACATGTCACTATCAGTCTAATATATGGCAGGAAGGCATGAGAAATAATATATTCTATAATGTAGCTTTCAGACTAGAAGGTGGCAACCTGCAATCTCCCAATTTCCTTTTGTTGTAATCTCCGAGGCTTCCGCTGTTGTATCATTGACCTGGAACATCATGACTGTCTAATATCAACTGTCCAGCTTCTTGATATTTTAAGAAATACATCCAAACCTCCAAATCCCAGCTCTACGTAAAGAGCTAAACTACCACTATGTATTGTAAGTGTACGGTTCAACTCCCCCCCCCCCCAAGCATCAGAAAGTTTTCTAAAAAGCACACTTCAGGTTCCCTAGAAAGATTAGATTGATTCTGCAATATTTGTATTTAGATAGTGTAATTCATTTGATAGACATATTTATTTTAGTAATTTCTCCTTATTTTACTCTGCTCTACTATTGCTGACTAAGTATATTTGTGAACTACCTTAATTGGGTTTGTTCCAGAGAGGAGGCCAAATGTTTCCCAATTAATTAAATGAAAATAGATTCCTGCAAATTCCATTTCTCCCTTTCCAAAAATAACTTATGTTTTCCTCTATCATTCCTTAAAACCAATCTTTTTTTTAAATATAAATTTTATTAGTTTTAATAGGGTTGGGGATAAAATGGGGTCGGGATTAGGATTGGGGTTTGGGTTTTCCAAGGTAACATTTTCAATATTTAGCAAACAGCATATTATCTGGATACATGTATTTAACTAAGAATAATAGATGTAGTTAATTATCATAAACAGTATTAATTACTCAGTAGCCTTCTTCTTACTAATATATATTCAAAATTACATGTCAATTCCTTTCTCTCTGACTCGTTTTTGATAAAAGTTATCCCATGTTCTAAAGTAGACTGAGTCTTCTTTCTCTTTAATCTCTAAAGTCAGTCTATCCATTTCTGCGCACTGTAGAATTTTCTTAATTAATACTTCTTCAGTTGGTAAGTTTTCATTTTTCCAATATTGGGCAAATACAATTCTTGCTGCTATTAATACATGTAGTATTAGATATCTGCAATCTTTCTCATATTTGGCTCCTATTATTCCTAACAAAAACAGTTCTGGTTTAAAGTCTATTTGTTTTTTAGTCATCTTCTCCAACCATAAATGTATTTTAGCCCAATACCTTTTTGCTTTAGGGCATGTCCACCAGATATGGTAATAAGTAACTGGCCTTTGTTTGCATTTCCAACAATTGTTTGAAGTATTTTTAAACATTTTCGCTAGTCTCATTGGTGTCATGTACCATCTGTAAAACATTTTGTATAGGTTTTCTTTATATGGCACTGCTTCAGTTAATTTAATATTTCTTTCCCATAATTTTTGCCACTCTTCTAATTCTATAGTATGTCCAAAATTAT